CACAAGGCTTTGTGTAGCCTCAGAAGATCCCCCCCCACACACACACACACCAATGCACACTCCTCTCCAGGCCATGCTCCTCCCGTGCAGATACGCCAGAGCCTACATGGTGATCAAGATACTTCCTGGAGGGGCACACACTTCCCATCTGACTTCTGTAGCCCCGACTGGCAGCCCCATGTCCAGAGCTGGGCCAGGCCTTCACCTCCCAGAGGGCTTTGTGGGCCCACATGACCACCTCTTCAGTCTCCACCACCCCGACTACTGCAAGAAGAGAATCATCTCCCACTGAGTGATGCTTAAAGGAGTGGGAGGGGCAGCACAGCCACCCCATCCCTGTCCACCTGAGGGGTGAGCAGCTATGGTGAATTCTTATGACGTATGGTACCCCGATCAGAGTCGTCCCTCAAGGTGAAGCCAGGGGTGCCCAGCTGCTCCACCACCTCTGTGGGGAAGTCCCAGCTTCAGGAAGTGCATCTCCTGAAAGCTCAGCACTGAGCTAGGCCCTGTGGGACCAGGGCAAAGCCAAGAGCCTGGGGATAGCTCCTGCCAGACCAGAGATGGCTGGGAGCCATGGTGACCTTTGTGGCCTAGAAGGCTGTCTCTGGAAATGGAGGGGTAAGAGCACCCCCACCCCTGGGCAGGCCAACAGCCCTTGGCCCCTTCCCATTAGCAGTTAGGAGTCCTTAGGCCAGTTGCTCATCTTCCCCATCCTCAGTTTCTTCATCTTATAGACGAGGATGATAACAGTACTTACCTCAGTACCTACCCAATTGTGAGGATTAGAGTTAAAAAGCACTTAAAACATCCCTGGCACTTTAGAATTATCTAGCAGTGGAACTTTGGGATGGTCACTTTCTCATCTGTAACTGAAGGGGACTATACGAGCTGCTCTCTTGGGCCACTTCTAACTCAAATCTGTCATCATTTCTGAAGTTATTCTCCCAAATACAGAAGAAAAGTGAACAGGGCACTGCACTAGACAAATTGCAGTTGCATAATTGGGCTGGTCTCCCTCCCCCCATGTCCGGGTCAAAGGGCGTAGGGTTGAGGTCAAAGATGGCCCCAGCCTTCTCTGCTGACAAACGGGTTTAGCTAATAACTCCATCTTCCAAAGACGTTCATTCCCATGCTCGGACTGGCCGTGTGGCTGCAGAGAGCTCTCGAGCTGAATCCCTTGGGGCCCCTGGGAGGAGAGTTGGCTGCCACAACTTTAAGAGGTGGAATTTTGCTTAAACCCATCGAGCTTTCAAAAGGTGCTCAACAATTCATAATTATGAAATGGGCATGCCCATTTCATAAGAGTCTCCACTCCTGAGAAGATGCTAGCCCAGCAAGGTATGTTTAAGGCAGGGATCTCACCTGCCTTAATAATATTATTAATATTCTGACCTACCCTTTCCAACTCGTCATTTCCTTTCTTAAAATTTTCAGTGTCCCCAGAGTCTCAAGGTGAAGTTCAAACCATTTCTCCGAGCATTCAAGGCTCCCATCTCTCTTTAAAATGGTATCCCTTTCAGCCACTGCCCTGCACTGAGCATTCCACTTGCACTCGCCCCCATCACTCAAGATTTCTCTCCTTTACCGGCCCAGGTCCAGTTCATCCTTTCACACAGATGGCCCCTGAACTGAACTCACAGGACGTGCCTATGTGTTCCTCATTAGCTCTTGAGCCGTCACTGCCATGTAGCATTATTTCATTCATGCTGGCTCAGTCACTGCCACTTGACTCTTATCTTCAGGAAAGGAAGAAAAATGCTAGGTCTGTCTGTATTACCACTGTGCCAGATCCCAAGTGTTCCCAGCGGGGTGAATTCCACTTTCCCGAGCGTCCTCCCCTGCTATGGGCTACACCCGACACGAGGTGGCGCCAAGGAAGCTCTCCCATTTCACTCCAGACGTTCTGTCTGGCCCGACTTGTTCCTGAGGCACAAAAAGGCCTTGATCTTTTCTACGAAAATAAAGGCAGCCATCCAGGCAAAGGGTGAGACAATGGTATCAAGGTGTAAATGATATCAACAGGTGCCTGAGGAGGCAACACAGTCTCCACCAAGATTCCTTCCAAAATGAGCCAGATAGTATAAAGTACCTACTGAAGCCCCCAGCTTTGATCTTTTCTGTGAAAATAAAGCTGAGGCTGCCACCCATCCCTCAGGCCGACTGGGGGGCAGGGTGAGTCTGGTGAGCAGCACCTATGCACCTTTCTGAAAGGTCCTCTGGGATTAGGATGGGGAGAGGATCAAGCCGAAAATCTGGCAAGGAACCACAGCCGCCTGCCTTGACTCACGCGTACTCCCAAGGCAGGCACCTAGCACAGGCCTGACTCACTGAGGTGAGCCCTTCAGTGGGTGGCGGTCCCTTGGAGTGGGGGCTCTGCTGGGTTGTGCCCCTCCAGGCAAGGCTGACCTGCAGCCCTGCCTCAGGTGACTTCTGATTCTCTTTCTCAGCTGGGTACAGGCAGCCTGGTGGAGCGCAGGAGGTACTCTGGGGGTTGCCCTTCTTCTGCCCACCCCCTGAGTGAGTCAGCAGGGCTGGCAGAATCCACACCATGTAGAGTGAGCGGCACAGAGAGCTCCAGTGCAGCCAGTGCTGGCAGACCAGGAGACCGTCACTGAGATGGGCCTGGGGCCGCCTCCTATGTCTCTGCTGCCCACCCTCCAGCATCCCTTCCGCACCCCAGGTTCTCAGTGAGAAACTTACTCCTCTAAAGTACCAAGGACCATCCCAGTAAAACTGGCATCTTTACAAAGGGGTCCCAGAAGAGCAGGCCAAAAGAAGCAGCCTCTTCACTAGGGGCGTCACGTGGTTAGGCAGCTGATATGGGGGAGGGCGTGGCAACGGGGTATAGAGGGAATAAGAGGGGAAAACATAAATAAAGCCTCTCCATCCAGTAGTAGGGAGAACCTCATCCCCAGGGCCCTGGGCCAGGAAAGGACAGGGAAGAGGGCCAGCTATTTTATTTTCTTTGTATGTCTGTGTGTATATATACATGTTTATCAAGTTCACACGTTGGAAACTTTACACAGTGAATACCTTTAGCCTCTGGGCCGCCCCTATCCTTCTAGATGCTAATCCCCATGACCCAGCCTGCTTAACCCCTATTGCACAAAGATGTCCAATGCAGAGCCCACCTCAGACTTTGGTGCAGAACCTGTCCTGCGGGGGGAAGCAAGAGCATCTAGCAAAAACCCGGGAAGGTGAGGCTGCCCTCACCCACACCCCAAGACAGGCCCCAGCCTCTGGCCACATCCAGCCTGAAGGAAGGGGCCCTACCACCCACCGTCACCCTTCTATGCCAACTTGCCATCGGCATGGCCCAGGCGCAGAGGTTCCCAGGGCGGGGCGAGAGCGCAGCAGGTGCTCAGGCCTGGGCGTTGAGGGTGGGGGGCGCTGAGTAGCGCTGGCGGGCGTGCTTCTCACAGTACAGCTCATCCCCCACCCAAAAGTGTCCGCGCATCTTCAGGTTCAGCCCGCAGTCGGCACAGGTGTAGCAGCCTGGGTGGCGGTACCGCCCCTCCTGGATGCGCACAGCCTGGTTCCTGCAGATGGAGGCAGGAGAGCCATTAGCCTGGGGGTGGGGAACTGGGGCACTAGGCCTGATCCCCCATTCCCATTTCCCTAGAGCCCAGAGGCCGGACCTGAGAAGATCCCCAAATCTCAGACTCTTGACTCCCCGAGCCTGCTCTCAGAAATCTTACTTCAACAACTGACCGGCCCCCACCCCCAGAACCCCTAATCCAAAAAAAGTCATTCCTGCCCCACAAAGGGCAGATAAACCCCATCTCAAATCTTCTGGATTATTAATGGAACAGTGGTCTTCAAAGTGTGGTCCCAAGCACCAGGACCAGCAGCATCACGCCAACTGAGGATAAGCTAGAAATGTAAAATCTGGGGCCAGGGACCTCCTGAAGAGCAAACTCTGGAGGTGTGGCCCAGGAATGAGCTAACAAGCCTGGAGCTGCTGCTGCTGACACTTCCCCGCTGTGGAAGCAGCAGGTAGGGGGAGTACCCCATTCCGCAAAGGAAATGCTAAGGCCCAGGAGGTTAAGGGATTTGCCTAGTGAGTCATCTGACCCTCCGCACTGTGCACATAAGAACTTTTTCCGGTGGGGGGGGCTGCCTTTCAACAATTTTCCAGAGAATGTGGCCACCTTATAATGCCACCCACGGAGAAAAAAAAAAAAAGAACCTATCTCTGGAAAATTTATCCTGTTCCAGAGGGATAAGAGCAAGATTTTCCAGGAGAAGTCACCTCATCTAGAGGCAGATCTCCAGAGGCTGGGAGGTGACTGGAGAGAAATGAAAGTAGTAGCATATCTCACTCCTCCAGGGAGCAGGGAAGGAAACCAGGGAGGAGGAGATGCAGCATCAAAAAGCCAGCACAGCCATTCTGAGAAGGCTGATGATGACTACCCAGGGAACTACTCACAGATCCACTGTGGCAATGCCACCCCCCCGCCGCCCGCCCCGCAGGTCCCTGACTGGTTGTTCTATGCAGGCCCCTCTGAAGAGCACCCTGCACCCTGCCCCCACCCGGCCTCCCAGGCTGCCAACACTCACGCAATGCTGGTGCCGCACTTCTCACACGTGTGGAGCTTGGGTGGGGTGGCCAGGGCCCTGGAGGTGGGCAGGGAGGACTGGGGGCTCAGTGAGCTGGGCAGGAAGGCAGGCGTGCCACCTGGGAGGGGTGGGGGCAGACAGATACATCAGAGCTCATCCACCGCAGCAGCATCCAGGCCGCATTTACTTTCGCATGCTCTACCTGCTCCAACATGCTGAAGACACTCACAGTTACAGACGCACTGACAGGGGGGCCTCTGGAGTAACACTGGTCATGAAAGTGAGGAATGTAGGAAGAAAGGGATCTCGCCAGATCTTTGGCTCGGGCTGGGCAAGTGCAGAAAGCACATCTGAGGCTGAGTTAGCCTGAGCTAAGGCAACAGCCCAGGGAGCGTCCATACTGAGTGTCCAACATGGCACGCCGAGCAGACGTTTCCTCTTGCGTGGCCCAGTCACGATGATATTAATGGAGGGTAAGAATAGAGAATCACAGCACATGATACCTTTATACAGTTTTCAAAGGGCTCTTAAGTGAATTATTGCATCCGAGCCTTAGACCACACTCAGAGGAAGTACAGATGTTATGCGTCAGGTAAGGTCCCTATTTGCAGCCGATGCCAAGACTCCACTGGTGATATCACCATCCGTCTGCGCTCCCCTCACCCCACTGCCTCCCTGGCTCCCTCAAGGTAATGAGGGACAAGACTGGCTCCAAACTTTTTCATTCCACCCCTTCTTCTGTGAATACCTCTAGGAGACAGACATCAGAGTTGGAACCAGACACTAGGTTCTGGTGATTCTGCCACACACATATTTCTCCTGACCATCCCATCTTCTCACACCCTGATGCTACTGGCCAGGCAAGCCCTCCCCATCTCTCTCCTGGACCAGGGCAGTGCCCCACCCCCAACACACACAAGAACTCCTGCAGCAGCGTCCACCTCTTTGGGAGCTGGGCAGGCCTGTCAGCCCCAATAAACAGAGTGCCCCATGGGTAGACGTAGGTCCTAAGCACCTTCTGTCTCCACACTCTGCACACGGCTGGCCCATCAACGGGACGGTAAACAGATGACAAGAGCCCACATTATCTGTACTGTTCACTTTGGCATCTCAGGCACTGCCGGCCATTACTTAACCAGCCCTCCTGAGTTAGGCCACTCCTTAGCCTGGCACGCACGGCCTCGCAGCAGACACTTAACCTCCATGGCCACACTCCCTGCTGCCAGGCCCGCTGCTCTCACTCCCACACCCAGAAGCCCTCGGGCGGCCAGCGCTACATTCCACCGTCCTCCTGCCACCATCTGAAGGCTGTTTATTAAAGGCTTCATCTTTCTCCAAGGGCCACGTCAAATCCCTCCTCCTCCTCCGCGAAGCCCTGGCTGGAGACCCCACCACCAGCCTCTGTTGTTCTGCTGGCACTTTCCTGACCCCAGCCGGCAGCTCTGGGGCGCCCCTCGTAAGCCCACCAGATGGTAAGCTCCTTCAGCACAGGGCCTGTGGCTTCTAGGAGTCAGCACCCCTCGGCGCCTGCTCCCGTGATGAGCACTTAAGAAATACTGGCAACGACACGTCCACTCAGGGCCCCGAGGTGTCCCGGGGAACCTCCCTTCCCTACCTGAGCCCCCCAAGGCCTCACCTCTCTCCTCTGCTTCCAGGGCTTCCTGCAGGAGCCGAAAGGAACTGGACTGTCGGGGGGCCACCTGTCCCTCACGATTTTCCTGAAGCATCTTGAAGACTTCTGAGTCTTCTCCCAGGAGTTGGCTTCTCCCTTCTGAGTCCACACTGTGGGGATGGGAGGCAGCCAGGAGTGAGGGTCCATTCTGGGTGTTAGGCAGAACATGGGGGCAGCAAATGGATGTCCCAGAGGAAAGGATTCCAGGGACCAGAGGAAAGCCACCTGGGTTTAGAGAGGTAGGGACTCCTCATCCCTCTCTGGGAAGCCAGTCTCCTGTCCCTCCCAGCCCTCCAAGACCGTACCTGAGTCTGGGGACACGGGGGCCTGGGGAAGGCGGCAGCACCAGAACAGCCGAGTCGCCAGTGCCAGCGCGGCCGAGACCCGCCTGTAGGAAGGAGAGGCACCAGGGGAGGAGTCAGCGCCAGTGCCTTGGGCCAGCACACCCATCGGCCACCAAGGCCGGCTGTTCCCAGGCCCAACACCAGAGGGCTCCCAGCCCTCACTGACCAGCAAATCTCCATGAGGGGCCATCACTCTGACCCTGCCCTCAGAGCCAGCACATCAGGGATGGCTCCAGCTCCGTCCCAGAGGGGAGGGAGGGAGCACCCAGCTATGGAGGTGCGAGGGTTCTGCAAGCGGACCGGGCAAGGGGTGGCGTGAAAACCAGCGGGTGACAACCAGCTAAGTTAGGACACAATGCAAATTCCTTTGTTATCTCAGGCCATGTGTTTGGAAAGATGTTGCATCCTGGGGCCTGGATCCTCCGACAGAACGAGCAGAGAAGCCAACTCTGTTGCTGGGAGGAAAAGGCAGCATAAAGGGGTGGAGTGAAGAGGCCAAGACCCCTGTGGGAGCCAGGGCTGGGGCTGCACAAATGACTTCTCTCCCACACAAGCTGGTCCTCCTAGGAGGGCCAGAGTCTGGGCTGACCTCTCCCAGCCACCCCGGGAGGTCCTGGACCCGCCCCGTGCAGCCTTGGGGAGCCGGGCCAGTTCCAGGCCGACCCCAGCTCCCCAGCGTGCATGGTCCGTCCTGGGCTCTTACACCTGCTCTCCACCTGGACATCTGGCCTCCCGCCTCATACTGCTCTGCTTCCTGGCCTCCTCACCCTCCCCGCTCTGCTTCCTCTCTGGCCCATCCCACGCAAAGGAGGGCCCTGGAGACCGCCAGGCAGCATGGCGCCGAGGGCACAGTTTCCTGAAAAGCCAAAGTCCCTTGATTTTAAAATTCAAAGTCAGAAATGAATTATGAGGTCAAATGAAAAAACTGCATGAATTCCTAAGCTAAAATGGAAATGTCAGAGTCTCGAGAAGACAGCCCTAGACCCTGACCCGCCTCTGCCACCAGCTTGCATTTCTCTGCTCTTCGCTCTTTGGGAAGACGGTCTAGGTGAGGAGACTGAGGGTCAGAGGGACAAAGTGGCTGATCCAAGCCACCCCGGGAGCCGGAGGCAGAGCATGGAGTCCATACCTGGGCTCCTGGGTGCCCAGTTAGTGCCGTGTGGTCTGACAGTAAGAAAATTTCCTCAGGAATGACGGCCAGTTCCAGATAGCTACTCCAGAATTGTATTCCATCTCGCCGTCCCAACATGTGCCCTGAATCGAGGCACTGGCCGTTGGAGAGGGAGGGCTGAAATCTGGCCCGGGTCCCTCCAAAAGCCAAGCCCTTAAGCCGGACAGAGGGAGAGGCAATGCTCTCACTCCATATCTGCTCACCAAGGCTTTTGCCTACCCAGGTTGTGGGGGGTGGGGGAGGGAGGAACCCCCAGTTTCCAGAAGGGCACCATTAGGGTTGGTGGCATCTTGTGCCTTTGGCTCAGGGCAGCCTCAGTCCGCTGAGGAGCCAGCAGCAAGGCTGCAGCCACAGCAGACTGGGATGGGGGCACCTCATCTACAGTCACCTCTGCCCCCTCTCTCCCACCAGACCACCACACCTTGGTGTAGAGGCACCCAGCTCCCTAATTGGGAGAGGCTCTGCCTTTCTCCTCCCTTCCTCCCAGTCAGCTCAGCCTTCACAGAGGGGACCTTTCACCTCTGAGTCCAGAAAACCTGCTCACCTGCCCGGCAGAGGTGGCCAACACCTCTCAAAATGTGTTCTGGGGGAACACGGGATGTTAAAAGGTGAGTGGCAGGGAAGGGAGGGTCCCAGGAGAAATACTGCAGGTAAACAAGTTTAGGAAATTAATAAAATTAAATGTTTTGTTTTGTTTTTTCCTCACAGGACTGCCTAGAACCTTTAAGGTGCTGAAGTGTACAGTGACTCTCACGAGGGAGCCGTGGGACCCTGTGACTCCCATGCCATTGGACCCCGGCCTCATTTGTAGACCAGAATGCAAGTTTTGTTGGATTAGGAATTTCTCTGTTTTTCCACCACTGCATCTCCAGAGCCTAGAAGGGTACCTGACCCAAAGCAGCTCCTGATAGATATTTGTTGAAGGAACGACCAGGGAGGGATCTTGGGTCAAAGAAGGGAGCTCAGAAATCATCGGCTCTGAGTCGGAGGCGCAGAGAGAGGGAGGGTTACACGGTGGAGATGGGACTAACCCTCTCCCGCCGCATCTCCCCGCCATCCAGCCCAGGGCTCCTCTTCACACAACTCGGATGGTCCTCAAATCTTTTCATGCATCCGATCCCTGTGAGCTCCTTGAAACAGAACGGCGCCCCCACCCTACTCCTTACAACCTCTACCAGATTTAGTAGGTCTAGGCTGGAGCCTGAGAATTTGCATTTCTGACAAGTTCCAAGGTACCACTGCTGGTTTGAAAGCCACATACCACGTGCATGTCCCCTTTGCCTGTATTGAGGACACCACAAGGAAGGAGACCAGAATGCACAGCCCTTCTCCAGCCATGCCCCAGGACAAGCTCATTCCTGGCTGGTCTCAGCCAAAAGCTCCATCCTCCTCGAGGAGGCCCCCTAGGCCCAAACGCATAGGTCTTGCTTGTACCACTGCTTCCCCTCACCTCCCCCCATTCATCAGCCTCTAATCTAAACCCTACCTAGTCCTACCTCCCGACCCTCCAGCAAAATTCCTGACAAAGCCGTCTCGGGCCACCCCAGCCCACATTCAACTCTCCCCTCCCAGAAGGCCTCCTGCTTTTATAATTAAGACCACACTGTTTAGTGTTTAATTGTTCCAGAACTGTTTTGTCTGTTTCTCTTATCTCCACAGCTACACTTTAAGTTATTTAAAGGCAGGGATCTCGTGGAACACATCTGCGTGCCCATACTGCCTGGCGGCCCACAGGGCAGGCCCAGCGCAGGTCACCAAGGAGCCCCTACTCCTTCCTCCTCCAGAGTCCCCAGTTTCTGGCACCCTCCCCCAGCCACCCCCAAAGGCTCTGCTCTCTGGAATGCATAATCAGCCAGAGGTAGGATTCCAGCAGCTGGGCCTCGTCCCCTTCACCCAAAGGCTGGACATGCCCCCCTCAACCCTGCCCGCCCCCAGCAGCTGTGGCCCAGAACTGTTGGCTGCCTCACTCCCTCACCTCCTCGCCTCTGCCCTTAGAGAGGAGAAATACCACCGAGGGAGGCTGGGCTGTCGCTCGTGGACAGTCAGCCCTGTGGGGAGAGTCTGGTCCAGGGCAGAAAGGCAGGGGAGGGGCAGACAGAGAGCGGGCCAAGTGCGACTTCAGGCAGAACCACAGTCCTGCTAGTAGTTCCCTCAGCTGAGCCAAAGAAAGAAGAAGGGGGACGGGGTGGTGGAGCCGGGGCAAGCTTGGGGCTGGAATGGGGAGGAATGTGTTCAAGAGATGCAGCCAGAGCCAAAGGGAACCATCCCAACAACAGCAGCAAAACTATGTCAGCCCCGGCCCAAAAGAAACACCAGAGAAGGGAGGGAGCCAGCAGGAAGCAGGGAGGCGGCCACGAGTGGGAGTCAGGAGGCGGAAGGCCACCTGGGACCAGCCGGCCAGGACAGGGCAGCCGGGGCGGCCCACCAGCAGGCAAGATGGTCTCACTCGGGAGAGGGGGGTGCCTGCCGCGAGGAGACAAAGGCGCTGGCGGCCCAGGTAGGACCAGCCACCTGCACCCCTACTGGCAGCACTGGCAACCAGTGGACATGGGAGGCTCCCACCTTCACCCGGTGTCCTTACCTGCCGGCTTCCAGGGTGGCTCCCATAGGACAGACGGTCAGCAGCAGCGAGTCCCGGGGCATGTGCCAGGCTCTGGAAACTGAATGAGGGAAATGCGCAGTGTGTGTGCCAAGCACCCCTCCCCAGACTGCCCCAGCGAAACAGAGGGTGCCCCTAGGGCTCCCTAAACACAGCTACTAAGACTTCGAGAGGTCTGGCCTGGGCCGAGGGCCAGGGTACACCCCCCAACCCTGCACTTACTTCCGGCTGATCACCGCCTCTCCAGTGAAGGTGTGAGGGCCGGTGGGGGACTGGGTGGAGAAGGGGCTGCCTGCTCGGGGGCTGAGGGAGGCTGGGCTGGAGCAGGAGGACCGGAAGGAGGACTGGCTGTCAGTGTGTGTCCTCACAGAGCCCTGTGGAGACAATTTTCAGCCCACCCCCCTGGGCCCTTCCCCTCAGGCCTTCCCCTCTCTTCAGGGTGCTGGGGCTCCCGGTAGATGTACCAACCTACCTGGAAACGCGTGGCCAGCACCTCCACGGAGCTTTCCCCATTGGTCTGCCTGGGAGAGGCAGCCCGGGATCTGAGGAGAGGACACGGGAGGAGTGTCACAGGGGTCCTGGAATTCTGCTTAGTTGGTAGAGGCCGGATTTTTCAGCTATTCCCATACCAGGTTCTCAAGACTGGTATCACGTCCAAAACATTCAGACAGCAGGTTGTCAACTTTCGACTTTGCCAAATCCAAAACCAACAATCACCAACAACCACCATCATTTCTTAAAAGACAGTTTAGCACCAAAAAGCAGGACAATTTTGGCAAAAAGTTCCATAAATTCAATTTTATTAAAAACTCCTCACACTATTTCCCCCACCTTTCTTTCTTTCTCTCTCTCTCTTTCTCTTTCTTTCTTTCTTTCTTTCTTTCTTTCTCTCTCTCTCTTTCTCTTTCTTTCTTTCTTTTTTCTTTCTTTCTCTCTCTCTTTCTTTCTTTCCTTCCTTCCTTCCTTCCCTTCTTTCTTTCTTTCTGCATTTCATCCAGACTTTGTCACTAGTTAACATCAGTTTGTAGATCAATTTTGGGGGAGATTGCTGATTCATAAAATAATCCTTACTCTTTCACCCATGGAGAAACTGAAGCCCAGAGAGGGAAAGTGAATTGCCCAAAGCCCTAAAGCCTGACAGTGGCTGAGCCAGCTGCTCATTCCCCACAACCAGAGGCTTGGCCCCCACCTGCTCCATCGCTAATGGCCAGAATGCCTTTGACAGGGCCACTTGTCCCTTCCACAGGCTTCTCCTCCAGGAAACAAGGGTAGAGCAGTCCCCCTTCCCACCAGGCAGGCCGCTGCAGGACCTAGAGACCAGCTCTCCCACCAACCACCCGGGCAGCCAGTGAGGGTTCTCCCACCCCAGCTCCCCAGGGACCGAACTGGAGCCTTGAAGAGGCCATTGGAGGACTGGGAGCTGGCTGAGGGTGGAAAAAGGGTGGAAAAAGCGCCCGCTATGTCCCAACCCCACTACACCATTCCTGGATGTCCGGCCACTTCTAGAGAGGTCAGCAAGAACCTCAGTCACCACACACCATGCCCGTCCCCGCCTCCCCGGGGAGGGATGTGGAGTCAGAGTGAGGGGAGCTCGGGCTGTGGCTCCAGCCCAGAGCACTGCTTCCTGCCACAGGGCTCTGAGTGCCTGAAAGGCCCCGGGGGTGGGGGTGGGGTGGGGTGTTGTTTAGCGTGGAAGAGAAAGAGGCTGAGCAAAAGAAAGAAGAAACAGGGAGCCTTGTCCTGCCCAATATGGAGCTAGAGGCCTAAGGGTACTTGGCCAGGCCCACCGCCCTGACGCCCTGACGGGGCCGGGTCCCTCCAGGAGACACTCCAGAGGAAGCGATGGTGTCAGCAGCTCCCTGCCTCTCCCCTGCCCGACTCCGCATCCTCTTGTAGATTTTGGTCCCCTTCCCAGATGCCATGAGGTACCCCCAACCTTGCATCCCACTTCTGCAAACACTCTTGAGCCAGAGTGGCACAGAGGAGTCACTGAAGGGGCTGAGGTCCCCAGAGCATCAGGGGAGCCAGCTTCTACAGCACTGCAGGGCAGCCGGGGCCAAGGGAGGGCACGGAGCCAGGGCCCAGGGAGAGCCTGGCAGTGGAGGTGGTGTAGGAGAGGCGGGAGGTACCTGACTCAGGCTGAAGGCCCGCCCGAAGGGCTCTCCTGGCTGGAGGAATCTCCCAGCATTCCTGTCCTGTGACTCAGCAAGATGCCCCACCTTGGGGAGCCACCTGTCCCCCGCAACCCAGGCCTCCAGGCTTCAAAACCCACTAGCCAGGAATCTGCCTTCACCAGCAGGATCCAGAGAGGCAATGGAGGGAGAGACGAAGGGACTCTTTGGGAAGCGAGCCCCCAAACTCCTTAACTTCCCCCGCTGCCCCACTGCCCCTATCTGAACAAAGGCCCTGCCCTCTTGGAGGGAAGGTCCCTGGAGACCGGCTTAAGGCACACCTTTCCCCTCTTCAACCCACTTGATGCCCACGCCCTCCTATACTCCACACAGCTGGGAACCAGTCAAACCCGGGAGTCCAGCCTGCCCTGCCTGTGGCTGCTCGCCCAGCTGGGCACAGGGACACCTCTCAGCCCACTCTGCTGCAGGTCCAGAGCCCAGACCTTCTCACAGATGAGCCGAAAGGGCCCGGGAAAGCCAGGCAGGGCTGAGGGCAGGGGCAGGGGTGGTCGGTGAAGCGGGCTGGCAGAGGAGAGAAGAATGCTGGCGGGCCCAGCACAGGTGGAGGGGGGAGGGCCTACCGGTCTAGCTGCAGCCGCAGGGGTGAGGGGCTCTGTCGAATCTTGCTCTGGGCCTCAGCGTGGAGCATGCCCTCGGCACTCTCCCCGTTGATGGCCACAATAATGTCGCCAGGCCGGAGGTCAGCAGCCTCTGCCTTGCCCCGCTCAGTTACCTGTAGGGGATGAGGAGCAGGTAGTCTGAGGTACCACCCCTCCAGCCTCAGACAGTGGTGATGCTCAGGGAGGGAGGAAGGAGAGAAGATTTTTCTCTGTCTTGCCCAAGAAACACAGAAGCTGGTTTGAACCAGACTGACCTGGGTCCCCCTTTAGCATCTCTCTCCCTGCCCACCAGTGGTTGTTGCCCTGCTAATCAGCTAATGCCCTCCAAAGCTGGAGTGACAGCCCCTTTCCCCCCTCCCCCCGGCATCGGCGTTGTAATGGGGGCCACCCAAAGAACATGTAATGACAGATTTCAGAAACTGTGCTTGGAAATACTTTTGGATAGTATTTCTTGCCTGTGCAAATTGCACTGTGCTTGTGGCTGCCTGTACCCAGGCCCTCTGCGTGAATGCTCCCAGGCCTGGGCCCGGGGCAAAGGTCAGGAGGAAACTACCAAGAATTCAGGGGCTCCTGCTCTTGTAACTTCCCAAAATGGCTGCCAGCAAGTAAGGGGGTGGTGACTGAGGAGAAAAGAGAAGGCCCCATACTTGACCCAGCTCCCTTTTACTCCCCAGAAACCCGTTCCTGACCTGGCCACCACATCCCCATGGCAACAGGGCCCCAGCACTCCCTGGGCCAACACTCCCAGAAGCAGGCCTCTGGCTCTAGAACAAAAAAAAGGTGTCTGTGGGGACCAGGTGGACAGGGCAGACCCTAACTAGGGGGTACCTCTTTACCTCCTGGAACTAGCCCTTACCTTGGTCACCATGATGGGCGTGTGGAAATCCCTGCCCCCAGTGATGCGGAAGCCCCAGGGCGCTGGCCCCACGACGTCCACCGTCAGGGCCATACCTGAGGAAGAGAGGATGGAAAGGTGGAGCCTCTTGAGGACACTGTAGGGAGCGGGAGACAGGCAGAAGGGAGGAGAAGGTGTGACGGGTCCACGGAGCAGTCAGTCAGGGGCTGGGGGCATAAAGGAAGTGACCAACTCCTTCCTTCGTCCCCCAGTTTCACTTCCCCCCACCCTGGGAAGCCATGACTCTGAGTTTTCCTTCGCCGTGTTCGGCAGCGAGGCTCCCTGGACGCAGGCTGTCAGGGTGCCAGACAGGGCCTCGCTGGAGAACTGGCGGGCAGGGGCTGGCAGGTGGTAGGAGATGTCAGCATTTCCTCCTCTCCCCCTCCTCCACCATCAGGGCTAAGTCTCACAGTGCTGCTTCCTGTCCCCAAAACCAACAGCACAAGGTACTTCCTCCCCGCTCTGGGGGAGGGCAGCGATGTGGGAACAGTGACAGCAAGGAAGGGGGTGGTGCCACCACAGACTGTTGGAGTAGTTGACTGGGTGGGGACTGGCCCAGGTGAGGCCAGGGTCTTCAGAGGCTCCTCCTGCTGCCTGCTCAGCCCCTGGCAGGTGGTCCAGCTAAGCAAGCCAGGGCTTCCTGCCTCCCCCAGGAGCCTGCTGCCCTACCAAGAGCCCCAAAGATAAGCTGATCTGCCAAGTTGGGCACACCCACGCCCTGGTGCTGGCCAGCAGGGTGAGCTGACTGATGCTGCCTGCAAGCCTCCCATCCACTGACCCCTCCCCTGGGCAAGGGAGTGTCCTTGCAGACCGGGTTCTTGTAGGATTTCCGGAGCCTCTAGTTCTGGAGTCAGGAGCCAACCCAAGCAGAAAGCTGCAATGCCAGGCTGGGGCACCACCCTACCCAGCGCCCACACCGGAGCTGCCCCTGGGGAGACCCAAAGGCTGCAAATAACGCCCGAATCTATACAGGGACACTGGGGCCACCTCCCGCGTTTAGGAGCCTGGGGAGGGTGCGCCCAGGCCAGCGGGGCTGTTTGCCCTCTTCCTGGCCCTGTGGGTTCCCCTTTGCCCAGGGCCGGCCACTGTCCCTCCCCAGGCCACCAGGCCGGCGCTAGCGGCTCACACGTCTTGGATTCCCGGACCTTTGAGCAGACCAGTGGACTCCGCGCCGGGCGCAGCCGGGAGGTGCCCAGCCAGTCTGCCTGGCTCTCCCAGTTCCGGCGCCCTCTGCGCTCCGAGGCCAAAGTACCCGAGGGCCAGGGGCTGGAGGAGGAGAGCCTGGGATGGGGAAGCCCAGCCGGCGCGGGGCGCCATTCCCCAGGCGAGGCTGAGGGGAGAGGGACTTGGGGCGCAGGAGCGGTCCCAGCGCCGAGGGGCGCGGGCGCGCAGAGCCGCACGCAAGCCGGGAGCCGGGAGGCCGCCGGCCGTGCGGACCGTGCGCAGGTGGGCGCGCTCACCTGGCCCCTGCTCACCTGTCGGGCTGAGCGGCCGGGTCCGGGAGGGAAGGGAGGGAGGAAGGCAGGGAGGGCGAGGAGACGCCGCCGCTCCCGCTGCTGCCGCCGCTGCCGCCTGCCTGACTCTGGGGAGAGCCTCCCGGGGCTCCGGGACCTGCCTCCGCCCATGTGATCCCGGGGCCGCCCCTGCCGCCGCCCCGGCGATGGAAGCCGCCTCCTCCGCGCAGCCCGGCCCCGGAGCTTCAGCCTGGTCCGCGCCGCGCTGCGGGACTGGGGTGACTCTCCCTAGAGTTCCCTAGAAGTCGCGGCCGTCCTCTCCGAGGTGCCCCGTTTCCCCCGACTGCCCTCCGGGTGCAGGGGAGGCTTTCCGGTGGCGGTCCCGAGCCCCGCTTCGCAGACGGCTGAAGCTGCCACCCACTAATGCTCTCCCCCGCCGCCCTTCAAAGGGGCCCTCGAGCGTCACCCCCCACCCTAGAGCCGCGGCGGGGACGGACGCGGGGTGCGGCATGGTCTGTCCGCGGTCCGCCGGGCTCCTCCGCCCGCTCCAGGCTCCCACGCTGGTGCAGATGCAGCCGGATACCCACAGATCTCAAACTAGGACCGCCCACAGCCTTCCCCGGGCCGCTGCGCTCCAGGCCCGGTGGTGCCAAGCTCCCGGGCTGCCCCGCAAGCCTGCTCCACTCAGGGGGACTTGTCAGGCCCAGGGGGAGATAAAGAGGCTCGGGATGAGGTCACTAGGCTCCCTCCGGGGCTACCAGTCTCTCCCTCTTCTGAGCTGATGCTTTTTACACTCCTGGCTGTCATTATCCTATCTTGCTGCCCTGCCTGGGGCTGGCCAGCTCCAACAACCCCCTCTGTCCCTGGTCCCCCAGGCCCCAGCTCTCTGCCAACCACCTGGAACCCAGGCTCCGGGGATCAAGAGAGGACAGCCAAGGAGAGGCCCCAGGCACCAGCTCAGAACCATCTGGCAGATGGTTCCCCAGCAACCCTCCCCCTGGGCACCTCATGGCCCACCAGAGCTGGCTCCATCTCCCATTGCTCTGCGCCTTGCACTCTCTCTGACAGGCTGGTCTGTTGTCAGGGGTGCACACCTGTGGGCACAGCAGTAACTTTCCAGCCTCGAGTAGTCATTCCCCCCAGTTCCCTTTACAAGGAGTGCTCTCATGCCCCCGCTTGCCTACCTATACCCTGGGTCTCCTCTTCCCTGTACACACAGTCCAGGTCACTTCCAGCCTGCTACCTCTCCTGACCCCAGTTTCCCACAGCCTCTATTCCCAGTGTGTGTAAGCCACTCTCCCACTAACTCCTCCTGTGCCTAGTGGTGTGGCCTCTTGGCCTGAAGCACCTGTCCTACGCCCCACCTAGACTGGAAGCCCTGAGAGGACAGGAAGCTACAGGTAGAACCAGCACATGTGGGGTCACACAGACCTCGCCTCAAGTGTCAGGTCTGCCTCTACTAGCTGCATGACCTTGGGCAATTTCTTTGGCTCCTCTGGGCCTGTTTCCCCATGTGTAAAATGCGGATGATGCATAGTTGTGCAGACTGCCCTCCCATGTAAAGCTGCCTGCACACAGGTTCCTCGGAGGGCAGGGTGGGTTTTCGTTTGGTTCACTGCTCCATTCCCAGAGCCTAGCACAGTAGGCATTCAATAAATATTAGTTGAATGAATATTGTTCAATGATTGAATGGATTAACCTCCCTTCCTTTGCCACCACCGCCCCCCCGCTCCGCCCAGCAATTTATGGCAGAGACTCTGTTTTATACCTTTTAATGCTCCTGACTTTGCCTCGAACAATCTCTAGAAACATGTACAGGTTCATCGGCAGCATTTCTGCTCCATGGGTTCTGCACTCACAGAACTCAGGACAAAGATAAAGTGGACAAGATGTGATCTAGTGGGACAGAACAGAGTCCTGTGCTGCAATCTAAGCAACTCTGTGCCCCTGGGCACCTCACCTCTCTAAGGGGCAGCAGCCCCAGCGACCCTCAGGTCCACCTCGCCCCTCGAGGCTCTGACACTCCCTTCCCCTTCCCCCTCGTGCCAGCCAAGGCACAGAAGTGGTCATCGTCCATCAGGGCAGTCATGGCAGGCAGCCCGGGGCCTAGCGCTGGTTCTCTGCAGAGGTTTCAGGGCCCCGTCAAAGAGAGGGTGTGGATTTGGTTTCTGCCCCAGGGAAGGGAAGGCTCAACCCTGGTATCTTTTAGGAAGGCGTCAGGGACTCCAAAGGAGCTGGGATGGGGATCACGAAGAATGATCATTTCCACAAGACAGGCTGGCCCTGCCCGCTGAGCTGCAGACTGTGGTGAGGCCTGGGGTGGCTGGAATGGCTGAAGGAGGGCACGCAGGTCTTGTTCTCCCAGCTGCCACTTAACCACCACGGAGGCTTCGCCACACCCAGGATCAAGGAGCCAGCCAGGGCCAGGCCGCCGCCCTGTCATTCACGGCCCGCCTGTCTTGACAGAACTGGGCCCCACCACCTCTTACCACCCACCTGGGGTGGGGGAGCCCTAAGTGACAGGCCTGGAAGACAAGAGTGCCAGGAAGAATATAAAAGGCCCAGCCCAGGGCCAGCCCAGGGAAGTCCTTGACCGCATGCATGACCTTCTTTCTTTGGAGGCCTCTGGACATGGAGCACCTGGTAGACAGGTGGCAACAGTGACAGACCTGACTTCAGCATTTTATAATGATGTGACCCAGAGAACTCTCTGCTGCCTCTCTTCCTGTGGACTCAAAACTGCCTTCTGTGATGCTTACAGCAGATCACGTGAGTGTGTAGCTTTTTATGCCCCACTCAGCTCTGAGCGCTGCCAAAGAATGGAGCTTTCCTTCCCTGGCGGAGCAGACTGTGCCATCGCTGTCGCCCCACGGGAACCACCAAGCCCCGAACTCTGAAACCTTGGGCAAGAAGTCGTTCTGGCTAGCTGTGGCCCACCACTCCCAGCTTCCCGCAATTGACTGCTCAAAAACCCGAGCCTAAAAGAAGAGAGTAAACAAACACACAGAGGTTCGGTGTGGAAATAGAGCACACAGAAGGAAACCATTAGGAGGAGAGCAGCTAGACATGTCATCCAGTCCAGCAACCCCACGGTGGCTCCAGAATCAAAACAGCCTGCACACAAGGCCACATTCAGCTCCCATCTCTGGTTTCTCCCCACAATCAGGCCTCGCCCTGGGCCCTGTAATGTTGGTTCTTCTCTCGGGGCTGCCCAGTGCTGCCTGAGGCCTGAGATCTTCAGAGATAATAATGGTGCCTTTCTTGCCTCCCCTCACGCACGAGCGTGTGCGCACACACACACTCTCACGTCCCACCCGATTCCCAGCACAGCCCACTGCAGAAAGAATTCCCATAATCCTAAGCAGGATGAGCCCTCTCCCATACCCCCAAAAAGGAGTACAAGGCAAGGCCCTGGTATCCAGATTTATTTTACATTCTCTTCCAGGGGGGACTTGGGGGTTGGGAGGAGCTGGGGAGGCAGGAGGACAGCACGCATCGGTCTCCCTGGAAAACATTTGGGACAGGCCGGGCCTCTGAGGCACCCCCTTCCTGGGCACTACAGCAGCAGGACGAATGCACAGTCCAGGCTCGGGCTTGGCAGCCTTTGTGAAGAGGGGGCCTTCTGGCAAGACCTCTTGCCAGGCCTCCAATGCTCAGGAGGTGCTATGTCCATCCCCCACCTCACTCCCAGGCCCAGCTGGAAGCAGGAAGGCAAAGGGGGCAGCAGGAAAGCTGGAGTGAAAGGGGAGGAATCCCCCCAGGCACAGCCTTTGGTCTTGATTAGGTTAGGAAGCTGGTCCTTGTTAGAGGAACCCCATGGGGGTAAAGCTGGGAGCCAGTCCCTGTTAGAGGAAACACTGTAGCAGGGGTGGGGGAAACGCGGGGGTTCTGGTCTCAATCAGGCCTGGAAACGTCTCCACTTCAAAGCAGACCTCTATATTTGGGGAGTAGGGTAGGGAGGAAATAAAAGGGCTGTGAGAGGAAGGCTGTGAGCTGTTGGTGGGAATCAGTCCAGGGGGCTTCGAAGGGGCTCCGGGGGAAAGGCTGCTGGGTTGTCTGCAGATGCCAGCAGCCAGGTCCTGGGAGAGAGGGCGTCGGTCCTCTCTCCCTCCGGGAAGTGCTACTGCTCCCCACTCCATCCTGGCTGGGCTCTGAGTTGCCACCGAGACCACTCACACCGGGGCTACGTAATTTCCAGGGAACGTCCCAAATTTCTGAGTCCTCCGGGAGACACCTGAAAGAGGACAGACAGAAAGATCATTCCACACACTTCTTTTTTTTATAGGAATGGGAGGCTGAGAGCCCTGCCCCCTGCTGGCAGTGCCCAAAACTGCAGGGGAGGCCCTGTCTCAGGAAGGGAGGCTGTCTTCTTCATTCCTGCCCCCTAGTGGCAGAAGCTTAGCTAAGCCAAGCTACACTTTATAAATTAAATGATAAACCAATCCGAGCACTCAACTACCGTGTATAACTTTGTACGCAGCACTGAATAACCGCATCATTCCTCGGAAAAGCAAGGAAGGAAGCAAGTATGAGTCACAAAACTTAAATCGGGAGGAATGTCACTGGACACCCTCATTTTAGAGATGGGGCAGGTAAAGCCTAAGAGAAGGCCGAGTGAATTTCCCCAAAGCACTCCCTGCTTAGGGATAGAGATGGGAATAAAAGCCAGGCCTCTGGTCTGCTACTCCTGCAAAGACACCTGTGCCCTGGGGTGCTGGAGGGGGAAATGCTGGAAGATATGGGACTATAACATGAAATTCAAGTCCTGGGCCTTCCTTTCCTAGCAGGCTGGCATCCTGGTTTTCTCAGGAGCAGCCCATGCTCACCCTGCCCCCAGGCCTTGCTGATGCTGGTCCTCTGACTGGAGGGCCTCCCTGTTCCACGCTGCAGCCCTTCAAGGCTCAGCTCCTCCACGTCCTCCAGGAAGCCTTCCCTGACCTGCACTGTCCACAATGATAACCACGAGCCACGTGTGGTTACCGGGCATTTGAAATGCACGAGTGTGACTGAGAAACTGAACCTTCTAAACCTTTCCTCTAAAAGCACTCATGTTTGTACCACAAAAGTGGTGTTATTTCTTCTTGTCTATGCAAATTTGTAAAACTGTACTAGTAGTTGTAAAAAAAATTCAAAAGCAGAAGTATACAGAGTAAAATGACAATGTGCCCCAAGCCTACCCGCCCGGGGTAAGGACTGTTAAGAAGTCAGTGCTTCATAATCACTGGTGTGTCCAAAGCTTGGCCAGCAGCGAGGTGCTGGGATTCAGGAGAGAAAGGCGGGCTGCCAGGTCAAGGGACTGCCTTGTAGCCACCCTGCCTAGGCAGCCCTCCAACCCTTCAGTCCCTGCAGCTAGCTGCTGCAGGGGGTGCTTATGGCTGCTCCCTACTCTCTGAGGACGGCCCCAGCTTCTGAGGCTGTGG